TCTTAAAAGAAATCTGAATTGTACAGCAAAATCTTACGAATTAATTTAGAAATTGTAAAACCAATTGCTTTGAAATTTTGCACACTTTTAGGTTAGTGTTGGGATCTAACATTAAATTAATGATTACAAAACAACCATTGTAATTTATTTTTCCCTCCCCTTTAGAAAATCAATCAGGTTATCGTGAAATTTATGAAATGACTTGTTTCTTTGCTCGGTTTTTTCGCTTTTTTGTAATCGTCTTTTTATCATTTTTTAGTCGTTTATTTTATTGTTTTTTTCTTCGCCTTTTGCCTCTTTTTTAATTGCCTTTCTATTGCGTCTGTCTTTTTGTTGTCTTTTTTGTTGCTTTGTGTCGTTTGCTAGTTGCTTTTTCGCTTCTTTTATCCCATTTTTAATGCTTTTTTTTTATCGATTTATTTCGTCGCCGTTTTTATACCTGTTTTTGTAGCGTTTTGTGTATTTTTTTTTAATCATCTTTTTTAATCTTCCTTTATCGTCTTCTTTTGTCGGTTTTTTCGCTTTTTGTCGATTTCTCTTTCGCTTTTTTGGCCTTTTACGGGTTTTTAGTAATTTTATGTCGCTTTTTTTTTAATCGCCCTTTTTTGGTCACACTTTCTTATCGCCCTTTTTTGTCACTTTTTCGCCTGTTTTACCGTGTTTTTTCGCACTTCTATGTGTTTTTTTGCACTTCTTTTCGTCGCAGCTTTTGTTAGTCGTTTTTTCCCGCCTTATTTTGTTTTTGTTTAGTTTATAGTTTTTTTCTGGACTTTCAGTCGTCGTTTTTTTACAATTTTATTTTGTCGTTTCTTGTTGCCTTCTTGATGGGATTTAAGTTTTATCCACTTTTTTAAATATTTTTTTGCGGCCTTTTTTTCTATTTTTTTTTCGCCTTTTCTTTTGGTCGTTTCTTTCGCTGTCGCCTTTTTTATCGTATTTTTCACGTCTTTTGTCGGTTTTGTAGGTTCCTGTTTTTATTGCTTAAATTGTTCCTTTTTTTTTCGTCGTTTTTATTACTTTTCTGGCGTTTTTTGCTTTTTGGCCTGTTTTTGAAATGTTTTCATCACCTCCTTTTTCGGTTTTTGGTTGTTTTTTGCACTTTTTTTCGTTGCAGCTTTTGTTGATCGTTTTTTCCCGCCTTATTTTGTTTTTGTTTAGTTTATAGTTTTTTTCTGGACTTGCAGTCGTTCTTTTTTTACAATTTTATTTTGTCGTTTCTTGTTGCCTTCTTGATGAGATTTAAGTTTTATCCACTTTTTTTAATATTTTTTTCGCGGCCTTTTTTTATTCTGTTGTTTTTTGCCTTTTGTTTTGGTCGTTTCCTTCACTGTCGCATTTTTTATCGTATTTTTCACGTTTTTTGTCGGCTTTTATAGCTTCCTGTTTTTGTTGCTTAAATTGCCGCTTTTTTTTCGTCGTTTTTATTACTTTTTTGCCGTTTTTTGCTTTTTGGCCTGTTTTTGAAATGTTTTAATCGCCTCCTTTTTCGGTTTTTGGTTGTTTTTTTGCACTTCTTTTCTTTGTAGCTTTTGTTAATCGTTTTTTCCCGCCTTATTTTGTTTTTGTTTAGGTTATAGGTTTTTTTCTGGACTTTCAGTCGTTTTTTTTTTTATCATTTTATTTTGTCATTTTTTGTTGCCTTCTTGTTGGGCTTTAAGTTTTATCCACTTTTTTAAATATTTATTTGGGCCCCTTTTTTTTTAATTGTTTTTTTTTTCGTCTTTTTGTCGTTTCCTTCGTTGTCGCCCTTTTTTGTCGTATTTTTTCGCATTTTTTTTGGTTTTGTAGCTTCCCGTCATCGCCTCCTTTTTCGGTTTTTGGTTGTCTTTTTGCATTTCTTTTCGTTGCAGCTTTTCTTAATCGTTTTTTCCTGCCTTATTTTTTTTTTGTTTAGTTTATAGTTTTTTTTTCTAGACTTTCAGTCGTTTTTTTTTACAATTTTATTTTGTCGTTTTTTGTTGCCTTCTTGTTGGGCTTTAAATTGTATCCACTTTTTTTAATATTTTTTTTGTCGCCTTTTTTTTTATTGTTTTTTTTAGTCGTTTCCTTCGGTGTCGCCCTTTTTTATCGTATTTTTTCACGTTTTTTGTCGGTTTTGTACCTTCCTGTTTTTGTTGCTTAAATTGTCACTTTTTTTTCGTCGTTTTTATAACTTTTTTGCCGTTCTTTGCTTTTTGGCCTGTTTTTGAAATGTTTTCAGCGCCCCCTTTTTCGGTTTTTGGTTGTTTTTTGCACTTCTTTTCGTTGCAGCTTTTGTTAGTCCTTTGATCCCACTTATTGTTTTTTTTTTTAATTTATAGGTTTTTTCTGGATTTTCAATCGCTTTTTTTTACATTTTTCTTTTGTCGTTTCTTGTCGCCCTTTTGTGGCGATTTAAGTTTTATCCATTTTTTTTGTCGTTTCTTTTGCCGCTTTTTTATCGTACTTTTTTTTCACGTTTTTTGTCGCCTTTGTAACTTTCTTTTTTTGTTGCTAAAATTTTCGCTTTTTTTTTGTAGCTTTATTTTGTCGATTTTTTATTACTGTTTTTGTAGTTTTTTTTCTGGACTCCCTGGAATCGCCTGCTTACACTTTTTTCTGTACGTCCTTCATCCTATTTTTAAATCGTTCTATCGTTTCTTTCGATAGCTTTTTTTATCGTGATTTCATGTTTTAGACCTTTTTTAAGATTTTTTTTGTTTTTAGCTTTTTTGACTTATTTTTCAATCGTTTCTTTGTTTTTGTTGTCTTTTCTTGGCTTTTTTTCGTTACCCCCTGTTTGTGTTTTTTGTCACTTCCTCTTTAGTTTTTTTGTACTTTTGTATGGGTTTTTCCAAATTTTAAACCTCCTTTTTAGACAGTTTTTTCGCTTTTTGTCCTTTTTCTGTTCCTATTTTTGGATTTTTTGTTATTTTTTGCTTTTTTTTGTCATTTTTATCGTCTTTTTTTGTTGTCTGTTCTATCGCTTTTTTGTCATTGTTTTTTAGCTTTTTTGTGGTCTGTTTTTTAAATTGTTTTTGGGCCTATTTTTTTTGTCTTTTTTCACATTCCTTTTTGTCTTTTTTTTATTGCCTCTTTGCTTTTGTTAGTTTTTTGTAGACTTTTTAGTCGCTTTTTTTTAAATCGCTTTGGGACGCTTTTTTTATAGTTTTTGTCACCTATTTTTAATACCGATTTTTCGCTTGTTTTTGTACTTTTATTTCCTATAGCTCCTTTTTTGTCTTCATTTCTCAGTCCTCTTTGTCTTCTTTTATCAGTCCTTTTTGTCGCACCTTTTGTCGTTTTTTGCAGCTTTCTTGGTCGCCTTCATTTTATGCGTCTTTTTGTCGCTCTTTTTTGCGCATATTTTCTCAGTTGAAGTTTTAATACACGTCTGATTTATCCAAGGAAGTTGGATTAATATAACGCCCTTGGGTTTATAAAAAAAAAGTATAAAATCTTTTCCTGCTTATGTTAGAATCTACAGAAAATTTTTATTTTAATTTTCTCCGATTTTAATTTAATAATCACAAAATAACCATTAAATTTGTTTTTCCATCTCTTAAGAAGTTAATGATCTTATTGCAAAATTTATTAAAAAAATGTTTGTTAAAAAATATGACGGAAAATGTAAGATTGTTGACACTTTAAGGTTGGCATTTTTTGAATAGGTTGTTAAAAAAATATAATGAACGAACCATTTAATTTTATGTATTCAATCAATTTAATTGTTGTCACATAAAATCGTTGTTTCTACTTCATAGCTTCTAAATAAATATGTTTCGACTTTTATTTTTTTAAGAAGAACTTTCTAAAACATGAATAACGATTCTAACTTTTGGTAAGTCAGGAAAAATGTACAAAAAACCATTTATTACGTCTCTGAAATTAACTAAACATTGCTACGAAATAAAACTATAGACCGCCTCGGTACGACGCCAATGGGTGTTTCTAGTGTCGATGATGGGTGACTCATCGTCGGTCACGACGGCCAAGCGGCGCTCGCTAGAGAAAGGCCTGGAAGCGGAAGTCGCGATGGATTCCAGAAAGACCTCGATCACGAAACCTCCAGAAAGAGAGTGTGCGTTTATATAGAGGCCACTTGCGGGAACGATCATTATTCAGTTAACGAATCGAGTTGTATAAATTGTTGAGTTTACCCACGCCGATTTTAATAACCGCTTCATCGTAACAATATGTTTTATGTCAAAGTTCCGCCCAGTAAAAAAATATCTCAAGGGAAAAGTTATATAACAAAAGCGTTCAATATTACCACAGAATACTAAACTTCACTGAAGAGGGAGGATAACAAAAAAGACAAGCAAAAATATACCAAATACGGATGTTTCAGTATGAAAAATAAGAAAACGGTTATCTGGATTTTCTTCAATTTTTTATGCCCTTTATCAAAATAACCGTGTATTACAAAATGACCGTTGAACTGCAGTAACGTAACGTAACGTACAGAATGTTTTCAAATGAAACATCCTGTACGTTAGATTCGAAATACTTTAAAAATATCTGTTTCAACAAGTAGGAAATAAATAAGCTTCCACCATCAGACTGTTGAAACATCCCGTATATAATCGAATTTGATGAAAGTAAATTGTTATAATATTTAAATTTTATTAGCAAATCAAACGATGATGCAGATGTATTGTCACTTTAAATGCGAGTTAGGCAACCAATAAAACCGACAAACTAATCTGAATAGTCTGATTTACTAACAACTATGCTGTGCAAATTCTGGTTTATACCAGTAAAAAAAATACTAATTACATTACCACCATGAAATTGTGAAAATGTGTACATTTTTTTCACACCAATACCTGTTGATTCTATTCGTGACACAACATCCTTCTCAACTTAGTTCGTTATCAAGTATAAAACCTCATGAGTTGTTTGAGATTGCGGTGTTGGTGAATCTTTATTATAAATTGAAAGAGGCCTAAATCCACAGTTTATAATTCTGTAGAAGTCTAGTGTTTAAAAAAAAAAAGGGAAAAAGCGACATTTGCACTGATAATCTACATTTTTTCCAGAAGGGTGAAGTCAACCTGGAGAACGTCACCCACGAGGACGCCGTCACAACGCTCAAAACCACGCAGGACAGGGTCGTTCTCGTCGTCGCCAAACCAGACAGTGCCTTTAATGCTCCCGCATCTGATACTTCCTATTCGCCGCAGTTGTGTAAGTTAACTAGACCTGTTCCTGACGGGACGATAATTTAAATGTCAGATTTTACGTTCGCCCTCACCCGTAAACACTATTACTCATTTATAATCAAACTAAATAGTGGAAATGTTAAATGAAACGTGGGCTTCATGGGGTTTGGGACGTGCGTGTGTGCACCAGAATATTTAGATTATTAACTACGGCAGCCTTTAAACGCGGACGAAGACCATTATCTTGGATGGCACTAGCGAATAACTATAAATCTTCTGCTTGTGAAGCTGTATGTTGTACGTTGGCACAACTGTAAAAGCCAAAATAAACAAAAACGGATGTCGTGACGGGACGTGAATAATAATCTGGTGTGGAGGTATTACTGGTTGCCTAGGCGGTGCGCTGCTAGCTCACATGAATTTTTTAGCGGTTGTGTCGGGTATTTATTTATTATGCAGGAGTTGTTTTGGTATAAAATTTTAAACACAGAAATGTGTAGCTTATAAGTTAATTTACGAACTACAATACCAGTTGTGAATAACATTTATAGACGATTTTAATGCAATTTTTATCGCTGGAGAAAATTATTGCGTTGTTGAATGAAAATCGTAAAGCAAAACTCACATACGATGAAATTACATGAAATTGACGCACAAGTGTATTTTATAGAAACAAGCAAAACTCTGTAATTTAATTTTTAAAAATTATGTTGGCGACACTAACACGTCTCGTTTGACAGTTGGGTCGAATACCTGTCAAATAAAGTGTCAAGCAGCAGTGCCAATGTCATTATTTAAAAAATATATTTATTTCATGGCCCACAGACGACTTCTTGGATAAACATTCAGTAGCTTAACTTCGCCGTATTTTGGGTTGCATAACTCGGCATCCTTCAAACAATAGCGGAATTTCAATATTTAATTTAATAATTCCGAATCAGGGACCAAAGTGGAAAAAATAACAAGATTATCTAAAAAATAATAAAATTTTAAAATTTTGCGTTAATCTTTACATAAGGAAAAAGAAGAAAATAAAGAGAAAAACAGAATTTAATTTACCAAATGTATAATTTTTTGTAAAAAATTTACAATAAATAAGCTTAGGAACTATTAGAATTTGGTCAAGTAATTCTACATCTCAGTGTGTGGTACAATTGCTTACTATGTTATACCGGGTGAATTTGACAATGACACCCTCTAACATAGAGAAAGTGGGTGGGCGGGGCTAGTAGCTGCCAAGATAAGACTGATTTTGGCAAATGAGATACCATCTAAGAAAAGAGAGGGCGGGTGGGCGGGGTTAGTACCTGGTAAGATAAGGGTGATTTTGGCAGATGATGTACCTGTTAAGAAAAGAGAGGGCGGGTGGGCGGGGCTAATACCTGCTAAAATAAAACCGGTTTTGGAAAATGACATATCCTCTAATCATTATAACTCCACCAAAATATGAGAAGGAATTTATTTACCATTTTTCCCAGACTTGATTGTTAAAAGCGTAGTGGAGAATTAATCCACGATTTTTCAGACACCCGGTATAAAGTTGAATATTTCGATCATTGGTTATTTAATATAAATGTGTCTATACAATGAAAATACTATTTTTTAATGTTAATCATAGATTTTTTGGAAATTTCTTTTCAAATAGAATAACGCATGTCTTTAAAATGCTTTAACTAGATTTTTTACTTCCTGAGCGTAAGCTGGTAATCGAGTCCACGGGCGACTTACCACTTCGATATTTTCTTGACGTTTCATGAGAAGAGTACGAAAAAATTATCTACCGTTTCCATCTGTCTGTCTGTCTGTTTGTCTGTCGTCTGTGTCAATTTTTATTAGACAGATAATCTCCGAATCTTGGCGTAAAATTTTACATGTACGTTAGGAAATGTTCTTTATATCCAGTACTGTTATTATATTATTATTGGTATTAAATTGCACCTATGGAAATTGTTATACGTCAAAGCTCACTTGAAACACCCACATAGCATGCTCCTTTCCCTATATGTACTTAAACAGTCCACACCTATGTACCTTTTAACTTACAGGGGTTATAATAAAAAAAAAAAGAAAATAAATTCGCAAAATTGAATTTTATGAATTTTCAAATAATCTGTATTTGTTCGCCTGTATTTCATAAGCGAGAAAGTTCTGTGATTACTACGAAACGTTTTTAAGTAATTATGATGCAAATCAAAGCGGATTCGTAAACCACTAGTACAGGAATATATTATTTCGTAACATTTGGATCACCTTAACTCTCAAAATGATGAAGGGACGACATGAAATTGTTGATGGGTATGATTAGACAAATTTATAGCGTTTTACCGTCTATAGGATACCCTCAAGGTACATATAAAATTTCTCAGCAATCGTTCCAGGAGTTCGAGAGATTATCTCTCTATTGAACAGATAACATACGACAAACGGATGGAAACGGGAGACCAGTCTTTTTGGACCTCCGGGGTCATGAAACGTTCGAGAAAATATAAAAGTAGCCAGTCGCCCAATGGACCCTATTTTCGTTTAAGCTAAGTCTTACTGTAATTTTGTTTATATATATATTCATTTCCCGAGCGTAAGCAAAGGAAGTATTGTAATCGAGTCCGTCGGCCGACTCGTTACTTTTATGTTTTCTCGACCTTTCATGGCCCCTAGAGTACGTTTCCCGTTTCCGTCTGTCCGTCTGTCTGCCGTCCCGGATTGTTATTAGACAGATAATCTCCGAAAGTACTGGGCCGATTTTTGTCAAATTTTGTACTTATATTAGGAATATCATGCATATGGTAAAACGCTAACCAAAATTTGCCTGATCATCGCCACCAATAATGTGATGACGTCGCTTCAAAATTGCATTCTTCGTGTTGAGTTTTTACCCAAAACGTCCAGATTTTTGGAAAAAAAATCAAAATTATAAAACAACATTTTGCAATTTAATTTTGAATCTTGCAGATTATTTACAGTTACTATAAGCATGATAAATTTTTGATCAAAATATATTTACTTATCCCCTCCAAAAAATTGATGACGTCAGCTCAAAAGTGTGCCGGATAAATCCTATCTAAAATGTACAAAATATCATGAGTTTGTACTTGTGATTTATCATTCCATTCATATTTTTTGGATTTGAATATACAGGGTGAATAAAAAAATTAATGAATGCGTGAATTTATTTTATTGAATAAGTCAAGAATTGCAAAAATGAATACTTTGAAATCTTGCATGTAACCAAAACATATCTTTTTATTTCCCCCAAGAAATTGATGACGTCATTGCCAAAATCAGTTTTATCTTAGCAAATACTAGCCCCGCCCACCCACCCCTATTTTCTCAGAGGATTATGTCATTTGCCAAAAAAGCACAAATAATAGCACTTGGCAAATGCCATACATTTTAAGAAAATAGGGAGTGGGTGGGCGGGCCTAGTACTTGCTAAGGTAAGACTTATTTTGGCAAATAACATACCCTGTGAGAAAATAGGGGGCGGGTGGGCGGGCCTAGTACTTGCTAAGATAAGACGTATTTTGTCTCTATTAATCTTGTAAAAACTTGTAAATTTAAAAGGTGTTAAATTGCAAATTTCCATAGTAACAAATTAAATTCCTAAATCTGATTGGGTGTTTATTTTTAATGTTTCATTCTACTTCAGAAGCGAGGGAAGTTCTGTTGAAACAACTTCCGACCAACTTTTTTACCGAATATCAAAATTTTATTTTTTCAAATACATAACAGAAATATTACAGCGTAATTTAAACTTTTGCTAAGCAGTTTGTAAAAAAATCGTACTGAGTTAATACTAACAACCTTGGACCATTTTTTAAATATTTTTATAGTAGTATAAATTATCATTGAAAAAAAAAGATCTAAAAATATATGTAATAGCAGTTAAAAAAAAAGAAAGTCCCGAGAGGGAATCGAACTCGCTTTCGCATTGCAAATCCGAGGTATGAAAAGACTGCTCCGCGATCATCTTCACCGTCGGTTATATAGGGTTGTTATACAGTTTGCATTTTTGCGAAAATTTTGATGTCTAGAGTAAAAAATTGGTCACCACTTGCGTATTATTTGTGCAAAAATTTGGCTTTGTGTTTCGTACACGGTGAGCCACAAAATACAAATTTTTATTTTTACTTTTTATTTCAAAAAAATTTTTTAGGTGCTTTCGTTCATATTGGCACATCTGTGTTGTGTCATATTTCTCACCTGCAAAAAAACTCCTATTATTTGCTACGAAATTCTGCTTCACCTGTGTGACAAAGAAGACGACTTTCCCTCCACTAAAAGAAACATTTTTTTGGTTATCTGTCAAATAAACCACCGGAATTTTAATTTCACAGCTGGGGGGTGTTTTAGGGTTAACTACACCATGGTCTTTTCCATTTACGGAATCATAATTTCGTCTGTAATGATATTCACTTAATCACCATTTAAGATAGATTTATGTTGCTGCCGTTGAAACTTAAAACATGTCTAAAGTGGTAAATTTGTATAGTGAAATATCGATTTTACAATTACGCTCCGCCCCTCGGTCTGATAACGAATGAAAAATTCATTACGGTTGAGATCGAGACGGATGGGTGGGGCTCCTTTTTTGGTTTTCTTTTTTAATTAATGCATTCTGTATAACACAATTACTTAAGAACATATTTCACATGGTAATTTCTCGAAGAAAATGAGGATTTTACAATTTAGCTCAGCCCCTCGGCTTACGACGAATAAAAAAAATCATCAGAATTGAGACAGGGCGGGTGGGCGGGGCTTATGTTTTGCCTTTTTATGCTTAGTATACATAGCCATCTTTTCACAACAAGAAACTTATAACATTAAGTATTTAGATCAGGGCAGGTATGGGTGGGGCTTAATCTTTGTAACCTTTAGAATCTTTGTAATTTTTAGCATATTCGGAAACTTCAAAGTGTTAATTTTTTGTAATTTTCAGCCTTTGAAATCTTAGAATCGTAAGAATCTTTAGAATCTTCGGAAATAGTCAATATATTTTTAATCTTCAGAATCTTTTTGGAGACTTAG